AAACTGGTTTCTTGAACATAACCCAATGAGTTCACTGTGCTCAAATGACCTCGGCAGTCACCAGATCTCAATCCAATAGAGCACCTTTGGGATGTGGTGGAACAGGAAATTTGCATCATAGCTGTGCAGCCGACCAATCTGCAGGAACTGTGTTATGTTATCATGTCAGTATGACGTGGACCAAAATCTCTGATGAATGTTTCCAGCATTGACATGAAGAATTAAGGCATTTCTCCAAGTAAGGTTTAACTAATAAAGTAGACATTAAGTTTATACTCAAAAGTCAGTATTCATGGTGTGAAAATGGTTTGGTTCTAAAAGTGGCCTGTTTGGCCAATATATATCACACACATCATACAGGCATCAGACAGAAAAGAAAAACAAATCTCAGGGCTTTATAATGTAGTACATTATAAAAAGAAACATATCCGTTTGTCTGTGTGCAGATTAAATGACAGTACTGTACTTGACCTTTTTTTCTTAGAACTAACTCTGTTAACACAACTTTGTTGAACACTAGTATGTATATAAGTACAGCTGGTGCATATTTTAGACACGGCAGTGATTTGCACAACAGCTAAATGAATGTGCTAACTGCGATTAGAACAACAAAAGTGAAAACATGTAAACTGACTGGCATCATTTTCTGAAAGTGAATGAAAATGCTATCTGATTAGTAGGACTGTTTAAATTCAAACAAGCACATATTCAGTGCTGACACACGTCCTTTGTGTCAGCAGTGAATATGTGCTTGTGTTTCTGTCTTTTTTTTGCTGAATGTTGAATGCATTCGTTAAAAGTAATGTAGGGCAGCGAGTTCAAAAAGCAGAAAAACAAAACATGAGCACGTATGGAAAGCACATGGAACTGATGATGATATTTCTCACGTGTCAGCAAAGAAATCTGGCAGAGCATTAATCTAAGGTAAATGTTGTGTAAAGATTAGAAACTGCCTCGGAGCTTAATGTGAAATTATCTGACAGTTCGTGGTCGGAAATGAGTGTATAATGAGATCACCGTGGCAGTATAAGCCATCAGGGAAAACAAATCCCTCTCTACAAAATACCCTACTTCCTTCCATCATCATGAGCAAAAGTGCACCACGGACTAGGCCGGCTTCCCATTCGTATGCAGAGTGAGTGATAAGTGCTTTAAATGCCTGAACTTTAAACCGTTCAAAAATTCCAAATCCCTACAATCTTCTTTGAGTAGGTCTTAATGTAGTTGGACTGTGTTTTAAGTACCGCGAGGATAAAACTCCTAATGGTCATCATAAACTGTAATCCAAAGGGATTCTGCTCTTAATCCAGGATCGAGGTCCAGGAAACTGTTCAGTGCAAGTCTAGTGCAATCTCATTTTATGGTGTGATATCTCTCCTGCTCTGACTTTACACCATACAGCACTGTGTGTTAGCTGTAAATATTTATGGCTCACCGTATTGGAGCATAATCCAGATGCAAAGTAACATGGAAAATTAAACAGACAGCTGCTTGAAGGCAGGCATCACATGGACAAAGCGTGTTTTTCCCATTCTACAACCTCGAGTTTTAAACATTTAATGATCAGTTTGTATATTTGAATTTAAGACCCAGTGTTGTTAGAGTTACCCACTAAGCATCATTTGCAGCGTGCGACACTTTACATATAAATAAGACTCAAAACCTGTAGCAACAGACGATTTATTTCGCCATTTAATTGCAATGTCCCTGACAAACCTGTTCGTCTAATGATCTTTCACTAGCAACCTGTAAAGCACATGTGTGGAAAAAAAAGAAAAAAAATCAATGGCAAGTGAAAAGACTCCATCGTCTAAGACTGCCTGTAAATAGAGTTTGTAGTGAGACTCTTTTGTCAACTGGACAAGCTAGAATGATGAAATCGAGCTCAATCTCGATGCTGCCAATCCATCAGGGACAATAAAAAGTTTATAAATTATCATTTCACTAAACTATCTTTATACGTACATATTTGTTCTGTAAAAAAAGTATTTACTGTAAAGTAATGGTGACTTTTGCTTCTCCTCAGAATAATTTTAAGTAAACTTACAGCAGAATCAGAGCACAGAATTCTACCTTCGTGACAGATGGTGTGTTTGTCACAGCAGTCTAGCTCTGAGGTATTTTTCAACACTATTTGTTCGCAAATGGTCTGCTAATAAAACACACTGCCAAATGACCAAACACTGATTTATGAAGCTGTAGTAATTGCAGTAGTAACTCAAAAAACAAAACTGCATTCTGCCATAAAGCATATAAAAAGTCTCGGATCCTTGTGGATCTACAATTGAACGGGATGCAATAGTGTGCTTAAACCCAAGAAGTTTTACATTGCTATTTACTCTAACAGTGTGCAGTAAGGAGATGCATGTGTGCAGTGCCACTGAAAACAGCATGGCACTGAGGGTGAATCTCAGGTCAAGGTGATTTGTCATGTCAAACAACTTTTCACCTCGACTTCTTCGGTTGTTCACTGGCCTGACAGCCTTCAGCAATGCCACAGTGTTTCCAGGCTCCGCTTCATAATTGATGAGGAAGAAGGGAATATGGGATTTGATCCAGAGTGGCGGTGCCTTTTGGGCCTTGGACAGATGTATAGAGGTGCTCATTTTAACTCTTCCTCTGAAATGGCTATGCCACTAAGGGAATGGTGACTAGCTCAGTGGTAAGCTAAAAGACATTATGAGCATTAAAAATGACCAGCTCTTTAGGGATTATACACAACAGCAGAATATGACATAGCACTTTAATATGTACATAATACTGAGGTGGAAAATTCACAATCCTGTGAAGTAGTGCAAGTATAGGGTGTGGCACTGGGGGAGACTGATCATACATCACACTGATGGTAGAGGTTCAAAGATAAAATATAAATTAAGGGATGATTTGGTTTTTGATCTAATGAAAAAATATGAAGAAATTAGACAGTGAGTTTCAATGTAACCATTTCTTGTGGTTAAGTATGATGTGACTTCTTATAAGTCGTAATACGGTGTACACTGTAACAAATCTTCCTGCTGAATTACAGTGAACTGCTTTGTCAGCATGAAACTCTGCAGTGCATCGACTACAACACTTTTAAAAATTATTTTAAAGAACATTACAGTACTGTGCTGTAATTATCTAAAGTAAGGATTTGAATAAACCTTACAATATATTAGTCCTAGTTTTTGTGAGATGATTGAAATGATGTTGTGGGACTTGAAGCAACATGATTTCACTTATGCAAAGAAAGTCAAACTCCAGCTTAGCTTAACTGCCAAAGAAAAATACCCTACTGTATTCTAGCTTGCTGTTCACATTGTATTTCTGAAAAGCATCAGCATTTTGAGTATTCACTGTACTTAAGAAACATTAGTGCACTAATTTCCCTGTCATTTTTTGCAGCAGTTGGTCTGAGTGTCATCCAAGTTATGAAAAAGATGCAACTAAATACCCTAAAAATTGCTCTTCACAGTGAAACAGATAACTTAGGTGAAATATTACCATAGGTGAAGGTTGACTGTGTAGGCTTTTGTCTAAACATTACTTTTTATGCAGTCACAGACCAAAGTTCTAATATAAATTTAATGCATTCACTTGTGTTCACACTCTATGATCTGTCTCAACTTTACACAGGGAGTTAAGCCTCCAACATAAAAGTGAACTGCACAGATCATTTCTTTTTTTTTGCCCTGCCACTCTTGCATCCACTTTCTTCTTCTTACAGTTTCTCTCCCTTGTCGAATTGAAAGGGACAGCGAGCTTTAAGCTAAAAAGGAAACTGCAACGAATCGGATTGCTGCTGAACTCTGAAGACATTTTTAAACTTGATGTTTGAACTTATGAGCATCTAGTTTCATATGATTTGTGTCTAAAAGCAGGTGAAGAATATTACTTTTGGAAGGGCGAGCACTTTCCAGACTAAATTTATTGTTATGATTTATCAGTCATTTACTTGTCTCTGCTCATTTAGTTTCTATTTTAAGGATAAACCTGTTTCAGTAAGCCTTAAAAGCGTTATGTGTTTAGAGTATATAAAAACAATTTTCTTTAGAGCGTGCCCTTTAATCTCATGCTCACAAATCATCCAGAATGCTTTTTTTGTGTTTTATAAATTGTAAACCAACAGAATCAAAAGCTGATGATGACTATAACTAGAAGAAACTGGCTTCAAAATGAAACTGTTTAATTAAGCTCTCTAAGCCCCCACCTTCCACATCTATTTCCACAGTTTTCAGAAGCCCACTCTCCTTTAAACTGAATGATGGAATCCAAATGTAAATAACTCAAGTCGGATTGTTAATTCCGGTGTTTGAATCGACTTCATAGCAGAGATCCTTCCTGGAACTGTGCAACACGCCATCTGCAAACAGCTGCGGTTATATCATATCTCATAGTTTTGATGTCCACTAAAAACTGTTGCATAACTTTGTGTTAACCGTGGAATTAGAAAACTTATCCTCTAAGCCTTGAAAAAAAAAACATTTGAAATCTTCAGGGTTTGATAACATATACTTATTAAATATACTTATTTTACAATCCAATCTACTAAGATTTCAGACGAAAACTAATCAGTTTTAAATAAACTGTCACACTGAAATGAAGCAAATTTTTACTTATGCACACTGTAAAACAAACAAACAAACAAAAAACATGACAAAATTCAAACTGCAAAGACGAACAATGCAAATGCAATTCCAACATGAAATCTCGTTTTCTCGTTTTTTTATTGTTTTTCTAATATATGTATAATCCCCCTTTTCCTTGTGTCTCCTGTGCTGCTGTAACAAGTGACTTTCCCCAGTGTGGGATTAAATAAAGTCTATGCCTATGTCTTAAACAGCTGCAAATCATTTAAATCTCATGCAACGACCTGGGGATCAAACACATCCACAGAAAGTTGTTGTGTTAAAGGATATGTTGTAATGTTTATTGCATTAAAGCTAAAGCCAGCAGTGCTAAACAGTCACAAAGCAACATCACACTCAAAGCAGCCATGAGAAAAAAAAAATTAAACTCACCTTAGCGACCCTGTTGGCAACTTCCCGGCCCACCATTAGCCCCTGGACGAACGTCCTTGCAGCGATGAACGCTCTGGTGACCTGGGCCTTAAGTTTTCTGGGAATGTCTCCAAAAGGCTTTAGCTGATCTGTGTATTTACTGACGCACTCCAGGTAGTCATCTGTAAAGTGGTACTGGGAGTTAAGTAACTGGAACATGCGTTCCAGCAGCCTGGACCAGAAGTCATTTAGCATCTCTTCCAAGTTGACGTTGCCCCCCGTGTAGTAGCGCTTTAGCTCAGTGAACAGGTCCTGGAATACTTCAGAGTTCTGCATATACAGCTTCCCGTATGTCCGTGTGAACATACTGTTGAGTGACTTCTCAGAATTGTCCAGCAGTTCCAAGAAAAACTCTATATTTATGGATGTTTTGGGAGATGGGAGAGAAAAGGGGATAGAAAAGACACAAAGCTGGGTCACCACATGATATTTACCATCTTCTTTCCCGCAGCGTAAACCAAACAAAGGGATGAGAACATCTATCGAAGTATGCCTGTTGTATCTATGGTAATTCAGTGGCTTATTTTATGGCCCTGTCTGCATATACAGGAGCAATGTATAGCAGCCAACAATAGGTACTTGATTATGTGAAGAAAGTCAGCTCAAGGCATTAATAATTTAATAGCAGAAATAATGGGCCACAAGGACTATGAATGATTAATGTAAAGTTTCTGATTGCATACTGTAACAAAATATTCATAAGTTTTAGACACAGACACTAGTATACATTATCATCCTGGACACCCACCATTATTCCCAGACGCATTAGTTTCTCACTGAAACAATTTATTTGTCCACTGAGGCAGCTGGCCTATGGGCCTATAATTGAATACTGTGCTACAGAGCCTTTATTCCTTTTGAATTATCTGAATAGTGTGTGCCAACATTTTACTGTAATGACCTTTTTTGATCAGTATAATTGTCACAGAGTTAGTATATACGCCTTACATTATGTAACGTTATGTCATTTTATAACAAACCTTTACGTCAATTACCTTGTAACATGAATTCTTGCATTTCACAAACATTCTGTAATTACTGAGCACTTCATGCGCATGCAGCGGCCTGTTATTGAGTCAGGTTGCTTAAAAATCAGTGTTAACACAAAGAACATCGAAATTCACGAGTGAAATTTTGCAATTCAGATTTAACATTCAAAGCAATTATATTATTGTTTCTTTGTCATCTGTCTAAGTGCCTTTCTTCCATGTGAGCACCTGATCTCTGGAGTACTAACTCAGCCAACAAAGAGAAAAACAGAGAGAGAGAGAAAAAAGCAGAATTAGCTGGGGAGTCTCACTGAAGCCGAGCTAATAGGATCCCATGTTCCTGAGTGCACAGGCGTAAATGTTGGGAAGATTATAACACGTCGCTCCAAGCACAAATGTCAAATATTCCTCCACTCTTCTTTGCAAACAAACACTGCAGACATTTTACGTGTCGTGCTTGCTAATAAACCATCGGAGGGCTTCTTCTTCTGGTTGGTATTCTGGGTGGCTGACATTTCTTTGCATTGTTAATGATAGCAGTCGTAACCTTACATGGTGGGCACGTGTTGTTCTAATGATAGTTTCTGCTTTGATAATATGACAACCCATAAGGCATGACGAATTGGTTCTCATGTAGCCAAGCAGGGTTTAGCTATGAATTATTAAGGAAACAACAAATTCAAAAATCATGTCAACTCTTAAAAATATTATAACTACTATACGTTAGAATACAGTTGTTTCATTTTACAAGATTAACAATAAAATGACCATCATGCCCCACATATTGGAATCATTCTTTACTGAGTGCATCACAAGAGTCAGTATACATATTTAAGCTCTTCATGTATAAAAGTAATGTTTAAATAAGCTCCTGGCCTTGACATCTGAATAATCTACATATCTGCACCAGTGTCACCATATGTCAACTGCAGCACTTACAGCTGACATTTGCCATATGACCAACTTTGTGTTTCTTGCATTTTTTTGTGTGCGTGCAAACGGTACGACGTGTCCACATACCTGAAATTGCTATCAGTCTAATCCCTAGTGACTCATTCTAGTTTCTTTGAAGCTAAATGACCTGCCACTACACCAACATTTGTTTAAATATTAGCAGCCTGCAGGGCCTTTTCCACTCCATTTTTCCAATTAGATCTGAATCAAGGACACGTAAGCCCTTGTGTATTGCACATGCTATTGTATCCGTACCATTTAAATTGCTCACACACTGAGCGGTAAATGTGGAAACTCATGCGCATACGCAGCCCAACATGTGGATATTTAACCGAAAATGATTTACACTTAATATATTCTGAAGTATTTCGAAATATATGATTAAGGGTAGCTTGACCAAAAATAACATATTCTGAGATGGGGGAGGGTCTGTGCTGGTGGACGTCGGTTACTGGCCTGGTAGCCTGGTCCCCTGCACTGCTCAGCCCCAGTGCAGGGGACCTCTGGTGCATCGGCCCAACTAGGGGGCTCTCTAACTGGTGGGGAGG